TTTCTCCCAGAAATCAGAAATGAAAAGTATATTCTCATGCAAATTTTTGAACAATTGAATGAATTGAGGAATCAATTATAATTTTTTATCATTACCAATTAAATTATATTTGACCAAACCTTAACTTAAAAATAAAAAATCGTAAAGTCGTGCATTTATACAAAAAAAAACATGAAAATCTTCTTTAGGAAATTTCCTCATGATTTTTCAATTAGTTTTGCGAGTGCATTGGATCATCAGGTCGGTGCACCTGAAAGAGATGAATCGATTTTGATTCTATAACAAAGTTAATTGATTTTTTATCTAATGAGGAGAGACTCTATTTTGGGAGAGGTTACATGGTTCGTTCCTCCCGATCGAACATTACCAAAATGTTATTTTGTCGAGGGATTTACTCAGCATGGGAATTATACTGGAATTTCAACAGAAGCGATTGTTCAAAAAAAAAAACAGGAGCAACTTGTGGTAATTACATCGTGGCGCCGCGAAACACCTGTGTACTTGTGTAAAAGTACATACTTGACTTTCACTGAATATACGGTTTGGATCCACGGGCTACATCCTCACCCTTCCGAAGATATTTGACGAATGAACTGCGTGTGCACCTCGACATGATGTACATTTGTAATCCTCTACATTTGTCTTCCTCTTCATTTCCTTTTTCTATTTTCAAGTCTTGCTGATGTCTACAAAAAATTATACGAGGGCTCTGTGATCCTGGGGTCAAATGTTTCCATCCCCAGTTAAATATTCTCAATATTTTCATTTTCTAATCTTCCGACAGGAAAAGAAAATTGTCTGACGATAAATTCTCACTTCATCATGAAATACTCATGTTCAATAACACTTGCGCTAAATCTGAGATTGTCTGTCTCATTACCCATAATTCTTACCCCGCGAAATTCATCCTCCAGATGATATATTTCGCGCGGGAAATTCGCACCTCCTCCTTATTTTTAAAAATATAGAATCGATTGAATTAAAGACATGAACTCAGACAAATCTCTTCCCCGGAATTTAACACCAAATAACCCAATTGCTTTAATTCGATTAAATTACCGAGTAATTCCACTTGAAAGGTTTCATCCTTGATACGGCAATTAATGACTCAATCAGAATCTGGTTTGATTGACTTCTTTATAAGGACATCATGAGGAACGCGTGGCTAGACTCTGAAAGCCACTAAAAATGCATTCGATTTAAATTCACGATAAAACTCGACGGTGTAGTCTCGATGTCCATTGGTGACTCTCGACGAATTTATGGTATATATTACTTGATATTTTTTTTCTTTATCAAATTGTAAGGAGAAAACCCTCTATTCATAGCACCACGTGGGGTGGATAATCAATCGACGATAGATTTTGATCTCGTCTAAATCACCGGCCAGTGAGAACATGCAAGTGAAAGAGAGGGAGAAATGGCACTGTACAAGGGTGAAAGTTGAAAGGGGAGTTACAGTTGAGGGGTTGGAGGATACAAAACACCTACATACAAACCCCAACACTTGGACAACACTATTGTACCAAATGGACCCCTTCCTCTGTACTTGCTCACAATTCCCGACCTTCTGTCAGTCTTCCGACAGCATTTCTTCAATTCAAATCGATACTCATCATTGCCAGAGTGCTGATCACTTTTTTCGAGACGAAAGAATTTTTCTTCAAAATTTATCTGGTCTCTGATCACCAGCCATTGATTGTCGAGACAACTAGACACCTGTAGACGAAATCAAAAAATTAATACTTTTGAAATGAAAGTATTTCGGTGTCCATTTTTTTTTTGTATTTTTATCTGATGCACTGGATTCAAACGTGAATTTACTGAATTATTGAATTTTATTTGACGTACGTCAAAGATTTTGAAAATTCCAATAACCGATTTGGGCTGTCGTTTCGAAAATATCTCTCGGATAGCATGGAACCAAAGGTTGAGTACCAATCCATCGATTGATAGGCTCAATCATCGTTCAAAGGTCATAAATCATGCAGCATTTCGGTTATTCTCATGTAGAAATGATAAACGCACGTGAAAAATGAAAACAAATAAACGAATTCCATGGGTGAGTGCGGATTTTCACTCGATTTCATAATGGATATAAAAAATATAATTTCCAAGGTATTTTCGTGCGATATCGTTGCCTACGGCTGAATCCATTCACTTTCCTCCACCACTGCATGTCCTGGACTCGCGGTTTTCCATCGCTGCAGGGGGAATGGGTATATTCCGAGGAATTCGCTGAGGTGATCGCGAAACACCCGAAAAGCTTTCAGATGCCTCTAGTAGGTCAAGTGAATGATTCCTCTGATAAAGAAGTCGACTAGATCGACTTATTATTATTTTATTATTCTTCCCTTCAATTTGAATAGCTCCATAGAATTAAATTTCCCTAGAATTCTGGAACTCCAGATTTATCAGAAAGTCAATGTTTTTACAAGAGAAGCCTCAACAACTAATTTTAATCCTCTACTAGAAATAATTTATTAAAAAAAATAAAAACTATTTGAATCTTTCTGAGAAAACTAAATAAATTGATTAGATGATAAGAATCACCATGACAAATGTTTATAATAAAAATGATGATGGGTATGGTCCATCCATATCCCATTGCATATTGCACTTTTTCGTCGATGCACATATGTGTCTGGATATATATCGAAGCTCATGTAGTGCACACGTGGCTACACTGAGACTTCCAAGGGTTACTAGCATGACTCTGGCATTGATCGTGCTACCTACCACCCTATGAGCAACCCCCTAATAACACCCCCATCCCCCCCATCTCGTTCCATCTCTTTCTGTCACTTGGTTTCTGTCTCTTCTCGACGCACACCCCACTCGACCCTTTGCTAACCCAATCTGAGATCCCAGCGGAATCAGGGGTGCTCATATCACCCTTAAACCCAGCAATGTCAAAACTACGTGACTGTTTATTGTGAACACCATGTTGGAAGGCCCAGCTGGTCGTCAGCTGATTGCTACCCTTTCCTCTCTTACTGCTAAACTCAGGAGAATAATACTGGAGACACCTATTATAGCCAGCTAAATCCATCACCCACTGGTTAATAATATTAAATAATAATGCAAATGCATGTTAATTGCTCGTGAGGATGGATTGGGGAAAAAATTATCATGGGTATGGTGGAAAGGTCCTGGAAATGCCGGATCAAATTAATCTGCTCGATTAATCACTCATTTATAATAATTTAATGGTATTACATGGGTACACATCTTAATGGGTGCATTCAACACTTTACATATGTACCAGATGCATGTAGGAAAATTTACATGTCTTGTTGGCTCGTTTCAATATCCATTACTTACAGCTCAAGCGGTTTCTCTAAGTACCCAAGTCATACGAATCTGACACTAATTGACAGTGGGTCAAGTGACGTTTAACCTTCTCCCTTAGTCAACTACCGAATTTCAGCTATCTCCATTTATTTTTCACCGTACATCCTCCTGGATTTTGTGGGAGGAAAGTTCTTGGTGAAATAAATGGTGAAGGTGTTGCTGGTTAATGAGTCATTGATCAATGGGGGCAACTCCGGGGTCAATTTATTTTTGAAGGAACTGGCATGTGTGATTTTTATCTTTTTTTATCTGGAGTTGATACGAGTTTGAAAAAAATTGTACCTCGCATAATTCAATTATTAAGTACGATTAGCATGTAACACACGTCGAACACAAATTGCACAATAATAGGAGATACAGTAATACACGCACCTTAACATGACCCATCGGTCTGCACTGACAGATCGTTGCCTGTCCCCAGGAGGCATACACCGTACTTCCAACAGCCGGACATCCGACTTTACGAGCTCAATAAGAGGTTACAGCAGCGAACTGAGGTGAGTCTTTATATATCAAATTTTTAGAAATATTTTCCTGTGAATCCCAGATTTTTCCACTCGAAAAAAGTCAACAATCAAGTGAAAATATTCGATAAAAATTCAATTAGCTCTTCGTACTTCAAAATTCGGAAGTGAAAAAATTGCAAGTAGTAATTGCAGTAATTAATAAATTACCAGATGATATTTTTTATATTTTCCGGTGACTCTGGGAATATTTGAAAGATTGATTTCTTTATCGGTGGAAAAAATCCCTCTCCATACGTAATTCGATAATCAAGGAAAACGTGATGGACAGGGAGAATTGAATCATTGAGGCACATTGGTTGTCAGTTTCTCCTGTCGGAAATACTCCCAACTTTTTTCTTCGATTTTCATCATAAAATAGCCGGAGTTGTTGAATTAAGGGTGTGGGTGGAGTATTATACGACACGTCGCGTGTCGCATGACGATAAATCATCTCCTCTGGTTTGCTTATATCGTCTTGGGATCACTCCTGACTGGGGCGCCTGGTGAGATCTCCAGGTTCACCCTTCCTCCCCAGAATCCCTTCAATTTCACCTCTGACTGGTTCCCAGTCAAGACCTCAAAAAGCCAAATTTTTCGAATTCCCCGATACCACCCAGACACTCCAGCATCCACCAATATGATTTTCCATTTAATTACGATGGGTTTCATTAGACCATGAGCTTCTTCATGGGTTTGTCCCACTCCCTGTAGGAGGTGCGTGCAAAAGCACTTCCTCATTCCATCACTCGAAAGAATGTTCAGAAAAAAAAACATCTTTTGCGCCCATGAGGATCGAATATGGCAAGGCCCTCGAAATAATGGAAATAAAACAGAATAACAACATCCAGAAGTGGAAAATAACAGTATTTCTTTTGCTCGTTGAATTTTTCCTATATATGCTTTTTATAATACTTGTATGAGCCGTAATAATAGACGCAACGTCCCCATAGTCTCCATAGCGTTACGAGGCCATTAAACGGATTATTAATAGTGGAACGTTGCAATATCCACGTATTTAGGTTAGTTGAGTCCGTTGATATACGAAGCCTAGTCTCTTATTGTCATTTAGCATTTTCTCGAGATGATACAAATGATGATAATTATTTGCACATCAATATTTTAATCGTTATTCGGAGATGGTGAGTCACAGGAGACGATGGGATAAATACTGGACTGGCTTTCATCCTCTCTACACTTTTCGTTTTCTTCTGCTTCTTTAATGCTCTCAGTGCCATTACGGGCGTTTGGAATTGTCTTTGTCGTAATTAGGGTGGAATTGAATGAAACAATTCTTTAATGGATATTTTTTTGCGCTGGAAATTGTCATTTGCACGAACAAACAGGAAGAAATTGGATCGAGAGATTTTAACAAGAATTTTAGATTTTTAACGACAATTGAGTGACATGTGAATTGCTTCAATTTTTAAGTTATTTTCCATTTTCAGATTCATTCAGATTCATTCAGATTCAACTTGATCGTTTATTTTATTAGTGATAATTTTTAATTGAGAAAATTAATTCGACATTTTGCCTGAAATTTCGGGAAATCCCCGGCAGCTTTCATCCCCTAAAATGAATAATTCAAAAAAATGGAAAAAAAAACTGAAGAAAAAAAATGAAAATGGAGTTGAAATCGCGAGATCATTTCACCTCTAGTCTCGCACTAGTCAATTGAGGTACCAAATAAATGACAATAACCCAGTGGTATCCTTGACCACGGTCAGTGCCCGAGACTGTCGACTCAATGTTACCAATGAGTTTATAGAGGACACGAGAGAAGTAGAGGCACAGAAAAGCAAACTATTCAACCACGACGATGCTCCGAAGTGCACTGTACAGAGGGACTTGGTGCTGGTTAAAGGGGGTTGCAAGGTGGTGAACGTAGGGGGTTGGGGAGAGGGGCTAGGGGTAGGAGAGACGAAAAGTCTTGTTTACACGACATAATCCGCATGCTGAAAGTTTCGAGAAAGTTGAGAATCGCTGGTTTTGGGAGCCTGGGTAATAAAATGAGGGCCCCTGGCTTCCCTCGGGGGTGGGCCGTCTCCCTGTATCCTCCTCCCTCTTCCCCACTCCTCGATAACCCATATTGTACCCCCACCTCTAGGTACTCTTCCCCCTCGTGTCTCCTCATTGCCCTCCCCACCCACCTCCACCTCCTCGTCACCCCATCTACTTCCCTTGGCCCCTCTTGCCTACGGTACCGCTGCCGATGCCGCCGCCGCCGCCACCACCGCCGCCCCATTCCGGCGTATATACTCAACTCAACCGGGCCAGTTTTGTCCACCTCCCCATACACCAGAGACAAATCATTCAACATCATTTTTTCATTCACCAATCAATCGAAAATTCACCAAAATTGATGGGCACAATCACCACATTTTTACCAACATTTACGTATTTTTATCAGATTATTAATATTTATTTTAATATATTTTAACGATTTTTCAATGAAAATACGAGAGATAGAATGCCGAGACAATAGTTTTCCTGGTTCGTATATACACGATCATATACCACCCCTAGGTCTCCCCCCCTTATACTTCCATCTTTCTCTCTCTCTCTCACGACCCCCCCTCATCCCCCCTGGCCTCCCCCTTTCCTCCTGTGCCCACCCCATTCCAACAACAGTGGGGTGGTACAGTCGGTGAAAAAGACCGAGGGTACAGAAGACGCAAGAATATTGTTTTTTGGTACATTTTTTTTTTACTTTGGAATTTTTTGGTTTTGATGGAAACAATTTGTGATTTTTATTTTTTTTTGGAAATAAGTCATCGATTTTGCGATTGGGGGATTGAAGATTGAGAAGTAAACGAAGAATTAGTGCGGAATTAGAAATGTCACATGTTGGGCCCGAATGATATAAACACCATCGAGTTCATCGAGTTAGATAAGATAAGGAAAATGGAAGACGATAAATAGAGGTGCGACTCAGGTGTACAAAAATGTTAAAAAATAATTGACTGATTTTTTAATTTTGACACTCATACCATTTCATGCCTTTCAGTGTCGATTGAAGACTGATTAAATTTAGAAAGACCGAGTAATTACAATTATCAATTCGAGACTGAGTTAGGCTTTTTCAAAAAAATATATCGCTGAAATAGATAATTCAGTGAATTTAGTAAGTGGAAAAATACTTTTTCCCCTGCCGCAACCGACAACCCGCAAGGAGGGATGCAACTATAATTTCAAGCCAGACAGTCATGGGTTATTCAGCTCGTACTGACTTACCCCAATCCCTCCTTCGCTCCAATTCCCCTAAAATAGAAAATCATAATTTATGGTGAAAAATTGATTGAAATTTATAGTTAATAGGTGATGAATTTTTCACACTCCGCCCTGAATTTCAGATTCCAGTCATTGACCCATGACATACAAACATGATAATATCTAATGATGTATCAGTTAATCATGATAGTTTATCATATTTTGTTTTTTAAACAATTTTTTCAGGAAAGCGACAATCTTTGGTGGGACTCCTTTGCGACTGAATTTTTTGAGGACGATGCCACACTCACACTTGCATTCTGCCTCGAAGATGGACCCAAGAGATACAGTGAGTGAAATAAATAATTATCTTCTCTTCACAATAAATAATTGCATTAAGAACAATAGTGAATGCGAATATATTATTTCAGCAATAGGAAGGACGTTAATACCCAGGTACTTTCGTTCAATATTTGAGGGAGGTGTTACAGAGCTTTACTATCACATAAAGCATCCAAAAGAGTCATTTCACAATACGAGTATAACGTTGGATTGTGAAAATTGTGTGATGGTTACGCATCACGGGAAGCCACCATTTATGAAGGTAAAATTAATAATATATCTGTTATTACTTTATTAATTTACATCGATGACTCCAGAAGCGTATGAATGAAAGAAGCATTGAAAATATTTAGGATTTCCTGTTCCAGGTGTGTACAGAGGGTAGGCTAATATTAGAATTCACCTTCGATGACCTGATGAGGATAAAGTCGTGGCATATGACGGTACGGCAGCATCGAGAATTGGTACCGAGATCCGTTGTCAGTATGCACACAGCCCAGCAAGACCCATCGATGCTTGAACAATTGAGTAAAAACATTACTAGACAAGGCATCACAAATTCTACTCTTAATTATCTTAGGGTGAGATATTCATTCCTTATTATTCCTTATCATTCGTTATTATTATTTATATTTATTCATTATTCTTTATAATTCTTCATATCGTTGGAGTGGAAAATTTCAAATTATTCATCTGTTGTTTATATTTATTTGTTTTAGTTATGTGTGATTTTGGAGCCAATGCAGGAGCTTATGTCGAGGCACAAGGCGTACGCACTGTCGCCGCGTGACTGTCTGAAGACAACCCTTTTTCAGAAGTGGCAGAGGATGGTTGCCCCGCCGGGTAAGAGAGGTAGACAGACAGTTGCTTTACATGAGAATTCACCAATGAGTGAATTCAGGACCAGAAAATAGTTATTTCAATTCCACCGAGAGATCTTCGTTGATGCATCAAAGTTTCGACTGACTATAATAGAATTTTTTACACTTGATTATTAGGCAAAGTTCCATATTGGCTCTCATCTGGCTTTTTTTTTTAATTATTTGATTTTTTCCTGTGAAAAATTTCACATCGAGTCAGAGGGAATTGATGTTTACAGTTTTATGTTATTAAGAGTGAAGAGACTTTAGTCTATCAAGTCGTTCAATTCCTATTTTTCCCCCTCTGACCAGACAGTAATTAGCATTTATTATGGATTCGACCACGGGGTTTCCTCCACGTTGATTCCTGCTTGAGTGACTCTTTACATACTCTATGGCCTGTATGTGCACACAAGCTTATCACACCTCACTTCCGTTTCTCAAGAAGAACATGTAAAGAGAAAAAGAAATGAAAATTTAAACATTTTTGTGCCAACGAGACCGTATTTCCTTTGCCAGGTCGACAGAGCCTCGGAACAATGCAGAAGTACTCGTCTTCCTCAGTTTAAAACATTGAAAATCAATTAAGTCATTGATTCCTGTCACTTTTAATTGTCGGAATTTGTGCTGTTGTTTACCTGATTTAAAGCAAAGACAAAGACGTAAAGGATCTGTCTATTTGTAATATGTGGTGTGCCTGCATGCCTGAGTGATTAACTTTTTGCCATAACGTATCAGAGACCTTTGATGACAATAAAGGTCCCCAGCTGGATAGAATTTGCTTTTATTTCAATAATACTTTTCTCTTTTTCTTCTCAATTCTCTGGCATTTTTTCCTTGAAAAAAAAAAAATTGGCGTCGACGATGGGATTGTACTAAGAGAAAATATTACATTGTTTGCAGAATCTCAGAGGCCTGCAAGTAAAAGGAGAAAGCGGAAGGGGAGTGCATCAGGGCCCGGAAATAATGCACCACCAGCCCCTAGTAAAAAGCGATCACCAGGGCCCAATTTTTCCTTAGCATCGCAGGTATGAATTTCGCACTTTTTTCGTGAATTATTAATTGCTGGTGCGATTTAAATGGAAAATTCTTAAAAATTTAAGAATATTTAAGAAATTGTCAGTTGAGAGAGCAAATGTGAATTTTTATTGACAGGATGTGATGGTCGTGGGTGAACCATCTCTGATGGGCGGTGAATTCGGTGATGAGGATGAGCGATTGATAACGAGGCTGGAAAATGCGCAGTATGATGCTGCTAATAGTCTCGATCCTCACAGTCACGATACCTCAGGTGGTCCACCACCCCACCCACACCAATTTCACTCGGAACCAACACCTGGCAATTCCTGGCCACCTGATCGCGGTGGAGGACCACCCCAAGGAGGTCCCGGAAGTCAGGTAAAACAGGAAAAACTTGATTTCGACACAGAACCAAGAAAATCACCTAAAGCACACAACCGAAAAAAATCTCATCAGGATCATTAGAAAGTACGGCTAATTAATCGAATAATCGATGCACGTGATTTCTCGAGTTTCTTTGGAATGAGGAGATGAATAATTACTGTATCACAATGAGAGACGGCATTCCAGTGACAAATAACACTTAAAATTACCACAAATTAACGATTATCTGGCTAATGAGTTGTTGTTATTTATTATGTTCAAAGATATTATAGGAATAATCAACTTACTATAAAATTATAGAAATATTTAATAATGCAACAACTACTTACGCAACATGTAATTACACTGGACGTCGTACGCATAGAAAGAAAAATGTCAGAAACAACACTATTGTATTGAAAAAAGTATCTCAGACACACTATTTTAATTATTATTATTACTATTATTCCCATGAACGGACAATGAAAGAGGAAAGAAATAAAATGAAGGATGTTTCGTCAAATAAACAGAACCAGGACTTTGGAATTTATTTTATCTCCTAATTCCACAAAACTCCAGATACTGTAAAAAAAAAAAAAGCAAAAAGCAAACAAAAATGCGGAAAAAATTCACCTGTGCATAAAGTGTAAGGTAAATAAGCTCGGAAGGGTTGTGAAGGGTTGTGGAGGAAAATAAAAAAAAAAAAGAAGTGAAAGGGCGAGGAAAAAAAAACGAGTAAAGCAAGAAATTGAAATTTGTAGGGTGTGCAGGGGGCTGGAGGTGGTGGAGGAGGTAGTGTACAGGGCTCGCAAGATGGTAGCCAACAGCAGCAAGACAAAAAGAGCCCCGCAGTGAGCCAGTGAGGCCAGGAGTCCCCGCGCCCACCCACCAGGGGGCGTCGGGGGCGCAGGCCCAAAAATGTGGCTCCCTAGCGGGGCGAGAACACGGTGTTATCAACGAGCTCATATCTGACCTCATCATCCGCCTCGTCGCGTTATCACGGACAGTTAACTGGTATGATGCCACAGCTTCCAATCACAGAGCCAGCATCCATATCCATGGAGGGTGGTGATATTGGATTGTCCAATGCCGTTACAACTGCTCAACCTACTGGTGGAGGTGTGACGCAGACTAATCAGGGTCAGGATCCACTGCAAAGTATTGTACAGCAGTTACTCTACCTTCAACAACTTGATTACATCCTAGCACAGCATGGACACATGTGACCCAACGGACTGGGGGGCTGCTCATCAATTCATTGAACATTCAATAAAAACATCAACATTCGAACATTGATAACTGATTTTATTATCTGAGAATCGTCAATGACTCAGGGGCTTAATGAAACAAAATGAAATTAAACAAAGTTAATGACAAGTTTAACTTGATTGAGTTGCAACTTGAATGATATTCAAAGACGATTGAATTAATGAAAGTCAAATTTTAATTATGGAATTTCTTCATCGAAATTTTTTAAATAGAGAATAAATTCTACGATCTCCGATTTTCGGGGTCGAGTGATACGCGAAATAGTTGGCAATGTGAAATAATGTTTTTTCTTTCTCTCTCTTTTTTTTCTGTCTTTTTTTATATCAAAGTGAAGTGGGGGTGAAGGAATGGTTTATGGAAACGAATGAATGTTCATTAAAATTAATTCTACGATGTGGAATAATCGTGGAGATTTATCGTTTTGTTTCCAACAATTGAAGGTCATGTACATCATCCGCGCACAAAAATGGACAATTTCTAGTTTTTGGGGTTTTTTAATTTACGCTCGATTGAACGTGCGCGAGCTGTGAATGAATCTCTATCCGTCAACAGTATTGATATAATTATAGAATAAATGAATATAATATTCTAAGAGGTTTTTAGACTGTAAGTACGTACTGTGCAAGCGAATTGCGAGTGACTGCACTTTGTTCTGTGGATGAATGAGTATTTTCTCTCCCCTCCTCCTCCTCCCCTCTACCCCTCTGCCCCCTTTTTTTAATGACAATTGGTCAAATCGAATTGCCTAAACGCACATGATTCTTTTATTCCGAAGGGCATTGCACAACAAGTGGCATCCTATTTTCTTTAGTACTTCTGAAATCAAATAATTATTTATTTATTGAAACACTTCGAAGAAAAAGCACTCTTCCCTTTATTTTTGCTGGAAATTTATCAATTATCAATATTACTGCACATTTTTTATAAAAATAAGACATTACGTGGGCAAATTTCTGGTGATACTAGAAAGATGAATTTCCTTTTTCACGTATCATCACGAATGTAATATTCACAACGCACAGGACAAACAGATGACATTGACAAAAATCTGGAGTTAACATTTGTTCACGGATTTTCAATTGGCTTACCAATCCACGTGAATCATCAACATCCCTCACACATTACACAAATCATTAAAAACTATATTATCCTTGTCTTGATTTATTAAATTTCAGCTATGTATAGCAGATGATACATACGAGTCCATAGTATTTCATTGACGCATGAAAAATATAGTAATGAAAAAAAAAAATCACTCTTTGAAGTGGCAAACAACTTCGATGCAGACAAATGCGTATAAAATCAACTGACGAAAAAAAAGTAATAAACTGAAGATAAGAAAATGAGATGACAGAATAGATACAGCAGACATCTCAATTTTTTATTAGTTAATAAAGCCACTCGTGCACCCAGCAAGTTGTTTCTCAAGTGTGATTTCATATAGTAAATAAAACCCATGAAAATAAGACGAGAAATTATGATTTTGTGTAATTATAATAAGTGCGCAAAGTGTGAGTGCATATAAAATGTGAAACGAGTGAATTTGTGAGAGGGATGAGTTTTAGAATAAATGATTTATTGACAAATGTTGTATATTATTACGAATTATAATGACACTATAATAATTAATTAATTATTATACCATAATAATGTGAATTGACCTTAACAGAAGAAAAAATACATGAATGATAAATAATAGGGAATTTTTAATTGTTAGTAAAAGGTGAAAATAATAAAGTGATGGAATGAAAAACTCAAGTGCACATCAAGCTGTTGTTTTGACAGCTATTAGGTCTGAACTCGATAGCAGAAACCGATCCGCTCAATGTATTGAAATTATTTTACACCTCCATGAGCTCATTATATATATTTTTTTTTCGTTTTTACATTTTTTTTTCATGGGCTTTGAGAGACGTGCTTTAAAACGGTAAAATGCAGTATGAAAAATAATTTTCTGTAGGAATTAAATAAGCTTCTTGCGCTTTTTGGATGTAAATAAAGTGGTAAATTATTCATATGGAGTTTATTATTTATCCAATCAGCATGAAGCGTTCAAAGTACACTCTCAAATTCGTTCATGTTTTATTTTATTATTCCGGAATGGAGATTGAAATTATTCCCCTCAGCAATTCAATCAGGCATTTATGATAGAAATTGGAAACTCGCATCGAAATTACGGACGAAAAATCAAAGATTGATGATTAGTTTCCAGTGGTGTAAAAAATTCAATTAAATAGACGAGACACACTTTCACATTGATGCGTCTTACTACATGGATTGATCGAAATAACGATCGGAAATATGTTAACGAGTTCTCTTGTACATTGTAAACGGATTTGATGTCGAAAAAAAGGATTTCCAACCATTTTTGATTTGCCGGCAAAAAAAAACTAAGTAGCATCATTTTTTAAAGTGATTAATTAATATTATGAATTATCTTTAACTATTATTACATGTTTCTGAAGCAGTGTACAAATAAAATTATCAATCACTTGAAAAAGTAAATGAATCTTGTAATTTTGTATTCACTCTATTCATTATTTTTGTTGAGTTGGCAAAGAAAAATTATCTAAATCGACTAGTGGAGACTGGAGAGAATTTCATTAGTATTCAATCACTAGATTCTAGCGTACCCTATTTATCTGTTTATTCCTACATTTTTTTCTGTGTTCTTTTCACGTCCCTCGAGTATCTCCACAAATTATTGAGAGTACATAAATTTTCGAGATTATCTTCCTCTCATTTTCTCCCCATTATCACAAAGAATAAAAATAATTTAAGAACCTATTTCACATAAAATTCCATAAATCAACTTCAAAACAATCGATTTAACTGATGAAAATATCCATTTGAGGGAAATGTAAATAATGATCTCCTCTCGACCTTAAATCAATCAATAAAAACAGCTGACGTAATGGAAGAAGGATAATAAAATAATTAACAACATCAGTCGTCACTTGAACTTGTTATTGATGGATTACCTGTGATTCGTACAGTGATAGTGCGAAATAAAAAATTGAAAAAAAAAAAGCAGAGAGTTCATCTATTTGCAAAAGTAGTTGAAACAAAGCAGCTCACACTGGACCAGTTTAACGACTAATGTGCACATTTTAATGTAAAGAAAGAAAACGATTGAAATTCCGTGAGTCAAGGTAATTGGGCGAAATTAACTTGAGTGATTAAATGCGTTCTAATGAAAATTAAAAAAATAACAATTCATCGATGTGAGATGAATTTTAGCCAGCCGGTATATTATATTAATATACATTAAGTGTTGGATTATTACCACGACCAATGCAATTATTGAATGAATGATAACAAAGTTAATCTTTGAATTCCATTCAGAAGATTTCTACGCACTCTACACAAAATCATGTCTGAAAATAAATAAACAATGGTAAATTTTTATCCTCGTCGTTTGTATAATAGTATTAATACGTTCACCATTTTGAATGAGACAAGCGTAAATGATTCAATAAAATGAAAAAGTGCAGGAACCATGCAAATTCACATTATATGTATGTAATCAAAATTGTAATAAACAAACAACAAATGAAGAACGTTAATAAAAAAAAAGTAATGATGATCAGACAATTTAATTGGACAATATTAGAATGTTGATTATTTCCCATTGGTATTGCATCATTATTCGCATTCAAATTCCGGAAGTTTCTACACGTCTTTCAAAAGTTGTGGATAAATCTCGAAATTGTAATTTCAATTACAGTAATTCTAGTTTCATTGGATTTTGTAAAAATGTATCTTCTGAATTTTTTCAGTAGCTTTTTTTTGGGTGAGAGATTTTGGAGGAGAAATTAGTCTCGAATTTGATGGCATTCTGTGGAACATTCGGGATTATTCTCACGAGATAAAGCTTTCTTTACAATAAAAATGCGCATGCGCATCGAGGGCCTTTGGGGATCGTTCATAATTATTATTTCGATGAGAATTGCATCACTACACGTGAAGTCTTACAGACCATCGGCTCGTTTCCGGTCGTGCACTTTAGTGCTTTTTTCATAATTTATTATTAATTAACTTGCTGGTGTATTGCATTGAGTTACATCAATAAACCTCAAAATGTTGGGAGCATCGAGATTGTTAATCCGCAATTGCAACGGACTTGCACAGGATTTTGGCAAACGGAGACAGTTCAGTACAATAATAAAAAATGTAAGTTCTACGCAGTCTTTTAAAACGTACTTTCTGCTATTTCTCCTCCAAATCCCATCACAACCACTCGTAAATTTTCTTTAACGAAATATTAAGACTTTTCTTAACCTAGACACACAAATTTCCAACATTTTTGGAGTGGGAATTACTCCATCGGGCAGGCGTCCATGACCGGCACGTGAGAACATTGACGAAGCAATATCACATCAAAGCCCATTAGATCCCATTTTAATCATTTTCTTCGTTAATTCTGTCGTCTGTCATTAGTCAGACGATTGTCAGATTTTTAGCAAAAGTTGCCAATGATTCAAGAATAGAGAAATGAAGAGTACATTCGCCCGGTAGCACGTGTTAATCTCTGCTCATTTTCACGATTTGCAGGCATGAATGAATGTCCATGGAGAAAATTTTTCAGTATGAAAATATTACAATATGAAAAATCAGAGCTGTACATATCTAGGCCCTTCTTATTCCTCTCCTATTTCTGTAATGACAAGATTAATGACTTATTTTTAAAAGATGAATAGTTACATAACCCTTCCGCATCGAAATTATCTAGTAAATTCATGCGACATGGAAAGTGTAATAGCTTTCATTACGATCGCAATAAATTTGATTTTTAATTTTGTGTGATGATTCCAGTCCATAGCTCCGACCCTGTTTGCTCCACAAAGGGAGTATGAGGTTAACCAGTATCGGTACAAGTAAGTAAAAATAATAAAATAATTTAATAGAACAATTTTTATTTGAATTGGAATAATTTTTATTAATTAAACAGGTCGGAGGGCGTTAAGGGTGCAGTTATTGGTATTGATTTAGGTACAACATTCTCGTGTGTTGCTGTGATGGAAGGAAAACAAGCTAAAGTCATTGAAAATGCTGAGGGATCAAGAACTACACCCTCTTACGTAGCTTTTACGAAGGATGGAGAACGACTCGTGGGGATGCCAGCAAAACGCCAGGCTGTTACCAATTCGTCAAACACATTTTATGCTACCAAACGTTTGATTGGTAGAAAATTCGAGGATCCTGAGGTCAAGAAAGACATGAAAACTGTATCGTACAAAATAGTTAGAGCTTCGAATGGTGATGCTTGGGTTCAAGGTGGCGACGGAAAGATGTATTCACCAAGTCAAATTGGTGCCTTCATACTTATGAAAATGAGGGAAACCGCTGAGGGGTACATGAATACCCCAGTAAAGAATGCAGTTGTCACCGTACCAGCTTACTTCAACGATTCTCAGAGACAAGCAACGAAAGATGCTGGTCAAATTGCTGGTCTCAATGTACTCAGGGTCATCAATGAACCGACAGCTGCTGCACTCGCTTATGGAATGGACAAGACCGACGATAAAATTATTGCAGTTTATGATCTTGGTGGTGGTACCTTTGATATTTCCATTTTAGAGATTCAAAAGGGTGTTTTCGAGGTGAAATCAACAAATGGGGATACTTTCCTCGGTGGAGAGGACTTCGACAATGCTCTTGTAACCTATTTGGCTAATGAATTCAAGAAGGATCAAGGCATTGACGTAGCTAAAGATGCCATGGCAATGCAGAGATTGAAAGAGGCAGCAGAGAAAGCGAAAATTGAATTGTCCAGCTCCTCGCAGACTGACATCAATCTTCCTTACTTGACCATGGACGCGAGTGGACCAAAACACTTGAATCTCAAACTGTCTCGTAGTAAATTTGAGAGTCTAGTTGGTGATCTCATTAAGAGGACCATTCAACCGTGTCAGAAAGCCCTTTCTGATGCCGAGGTTGCTAAATCCGATATTGGTGAGGTCCTACTCGTTGGTGGTATGACTAGGGTACCTAAAGTTCAACAGACCGTCCAGGAAATATTTGGGAGGACGCCATCGAGGGCTGTAAATCCGGATGAAGCTGTTGCTGTTGGTGCTGCTGTTCAGGGAGGAGTTCTTGCTGGAGATGTCACCGATGTATTGCTTCTCGATGTTACTCCATTATCTCTAGGTGCATAAATCATTACAATATTTATCTGATATTTTAGTATTCACTGAACTATGATGCAATAGTACTAATCTTCTCTCTGATGTTACAATTTTGAAGAAGACAATTTCGAAACCTGAGTTTAAATAGAATAATCTCATCTAGAGAATCATTTGTGAGTAGAATCTAATATATTTTTGTTCAATAATTGAAGGTATCGAAACACTCGGTGGAGTCTTCACAAGGCTAATCTCAAGGAATACAACAATTCCAACGAAGAAGAGTCAGGTATTTTCAACAGCGGCTGATGGACAGACTCAGGTAGAAATTAAAGTCCATCAGGGTGAACGTGAAATGGCCAATGACAATAAACTACTCGGGCAGTTTACACTTGTTGGTATTCCGCCAGCTCCACGTGGAGTTCCACAGATTGAAGTTACTTTTGACATCGATGCCAATGGAATTGTCCACGTGTCTGCTAGGGACAAGGGAACAGGAAAAGAGCAACAGAGTAAATTGCAATATTTTTTTACCAGTTTTTTTTTTGGGAGAAAAATTTTCAATGGAACTCTGACAAATTTTTTTATTTTATTTCAGTTATTATTCAGTCCAGTGGTGGTCTCAGCAAAGATGAGATCGAGAACATGGTGAAGAACGCCGAGCAGTACGCGAAAGAAGACAGAATTAAAAAAGAACGTGTTGAGGCTGTAAATCAGGCAGAAGGTATTGTTCATGATACTGAGGCTAAGATTGAGGAATTCAAAGCACAATTACCACAGGAAGAGGTAAAATGATACTATCACTCGTATTTATCTGAGAAAAATATGGATTCAATATTCTCATTCATTATAATTATATCAGTGTGACAAACTGAGGGAACTTATCGCTAAAGTCAGAGAAGTTTTGGCTAAGAAGGACGAAATGGATCCTGAAGAAATTAAGAAACAGTCCAACGAGCTGCAGCAAGCTAGTCTCAAGCTCTTCGAGATGGCTTACAAAAAGGTAACGTACTTTGAGGGAGAGTGTAATTGAATAAATTATTTGAATTACTCGAATTTTGGGGATGTATTTTTAGATGGCTGCTGAACGCGAGGGAAATCAAGGAGCCTCGCAACAGCAGGAGCAACCACCAGAAGGCGAGAAGAAAGAGGAGAAAAATTAAGCCCCACAAATACTGTTATATAACTTAAAATTTCTCGAACGTCGAATAACTGAGGCTTTCTCGTTCGGCTGAGCCGATGGATATCTTCAGGTTTTCAAGTTTATTGCTCTTTCCGAACGAACGATTATCATCCGATAATTAATGAATCATTACAATTTCCTGTAATTGAGTTAGCTACATGAATTTCCAATTGCTCTGAGAAAAGAAAATCTGGATCTTGAGATTCTCATGAATTTTATTGGCAAACGCTCAATTTAAAAAAAAAATAATTCAATTTAATCTCCGAAATTATTATTATTTACGTCAATGTTGAAATTGAAATGATTCGTTGTTGAAGTGAATGATCTTGGAAATTGGTAAAATTCATTGAGGGCACATTGTATTGATACGGAGAAGCACAGGTGAATTAAAATTTGACACAACGTTGCATCCAAGATCGGCTTAATAGTCGAACGATTTCGAAAAAAAAACATAAATCTTAATTTGATGTGTAGTTTATCCAAAGTATAAAAGAATAGTTTGTTGCGATTGAATGTGAATATGATGTGTGAATGTCGATGATAAACTGCTGCATAGACTAAGGATTGAACAGAAGAAAAAAATATAGATAATGGACATATGAGGAGGAACAAAAGCAAACTAGCAATAATTATAATATAATGATAATAACATTGTTGTAATATGACAGTAGTGTCTGCATTTTTTATTATCCATTGAATTAGAAAGACATGGCTCGTTCCAGGTATTTTTTCTTCCCCTTCGTTGTATTGTTTCAATAAAAAATGTGTAAAATTGATAAGCTCTTGTTTCATGCGTGACACTTTAAAATCAAACGATTGAATGTAATTTTTGTTGCAAAGCAATACAAAAATGTAGTGTTCACGAGTACATATACGTCCCTGAATATCACGTGGGTTCTGAGTTGACCTAATACCCCTCCAATACGCATGACACATCAATAACAATTCCTGTATACCCACACTATCTGCAATTGCAGTACCTAGAATAAGTTGAAATCCAAAAAACGAGATCACCCTATCACGTTATCCCAAAAAAAAACCACTAATAAAAATCAATTTCTATAAAAAAAGCACTGAACAATCGATGTAATCGATAAATTTTAAGTAATTAAAAAAATGTCAACAAATACAGAATGGGTGTATGTTAAATTTGAAATGTCCTCAATTAAAAGTGCAGCTAAATTTCAAGTGAAAATTTGTGGTAAATGATACAACGAGAATGTAATCGAACTGATTATCGTCCAAATATTTTGATGACACATTAGCCCCACGTCCCCCAGCAAATAATTTCAACCTTGAGCCCAGACTGAGAATGAAACGCTGGAAGTGCTGATCAAAGTCCATTACTCTCACTCAGTGGTGTAATTTATCTTCAGGGCTGAGAGAATGCTACAGTGGATATTATCAGTTGTATTCTAGCACTCGTGACACGAGGTTGAACATTCAGATATTGTGATAACGTCAATTGAAGTGTCACAGAGGTGATAGAGTCAATATATTCGCCAATATACTTGATAAATTGAACGTCAAATTTCTGAGAGACAGAGAAAAATTTATATTTTTAATTACAAAGAATAAATTAAAATTGCTCTGAATTAATCGATTGCATTGTTGTTGAAATAATTAATAATCCTCCTCATGATAATAAATAAATAAAAATTCCAACTTTGTTTGAGATAATGGATAAATCATCGGATGACGTGTACTTGAACGTAACAGTCGATGAGAATAATTTTTTTCATGGGGCAAAGGAAATTATTAAGCAATTGAGACCAAATTGGCCCTCAGACCAACTGAAATTCAAGGTATTTTATTTAATGGATTGAATCAACGAATTATATTATTTACAATCAATCGTATTCAATTCATTATTTATTTAATTTATCAAATGTATCATAATGTCCTACGGTACTGCTTAAAAAATCACGAATCATTTGTGAAAAAGAGAATGAAACATTGATGTCCTCATTATTTACCTATCACCTATCGAAAATCATGAATACCCAGAAGTTTATCTATGATAATACACATTAAATGATGCAGGTGATCATTGAATTTTAAAATCAAGCTATTGACATTATCACATCACATATTCACGTGAGAATTCTCATGTTTATTTCAGATTTTTACCGATGGAATTACGAATAGATTGATCGGCATTTATTTCGAT